CTAACAACCTTGGCAAAGCGTGGAAGCTTCCTGCGGTGGTGGAGGATGGGAACTGCGTGGCCGGCCGAGCGGAAAGCAGAACACCTCTCAAGAGCCAGAAGGTGTTGGACTGGTGCCAGGTTCAAGTCCCCCCTCGGCTGGGGAAGTTGACTTGGGGGGTCCCTCTGCCGTTACTCTCTCTGAGCCCAACCCACCTCTAAGGGATTTTGGGGGGAAATGGGAGGAGGGAGCGTGCTGAACACGGCCTTGAGGTCCCGGGGAGAGGCAGGACAGCCATCTGGCCCAGGAAGAGACGCATCCCTGCTCTTGCTGGCCTGCCTTGTCAGAGCTGCCAGGGAGTCGTTGGACAAACGCAGACAATGGCAGTCTCTACACCACGGCTGTGTGGATTACTCCCGAGGAGGAGTGGGGTTCTGTAGCGATGGGCAGCAGGATCTGGGGAAATTGGGGTTGCGTGCGGCACGGTCTCACCCATCGTTGCCTACGCCAGGCAAAAGAATCGTAGGATTGGAAGGGACCTTGGAGGTCTCCTAGTCCAACCCCCTGTCCAGGGCAGGAATCCTCAGACCCGTCTTTCTCAACCGTAGGAACTGTAAGATGGGTGGACTTCAGCGCCCGGAATTCCTAGCTGGCTAGGGAATTCTGGGAATTGAAGTCCACCCATCTTCAGGTTGCCAAGGTTGAGAAAGACTGCCTTAGACCATCCCAGGGAAATGGCTATCCAACCTCAGCTTGCAACCCTCCAGAGATGGAGCCCCCGCAACTCCAGGGGCTCTCGCGTTCAGGAAGTTCCTCCTTTTGAGTTTGGTTCTTCCTCTGCAAAGCTGCCCTTCGGCACCACGGAGAACCAATCCACGCCCTCGTTCCTTTGCGTGGGACAGGCGAGCCCAACTTCTCCGGCTTCCTCCGCAGGTTCCAGCGCTTCTTCGCTGTATCCCGTCCTCAACTTCCTGCTGTATGTTCCCGAGCGCCTGCATTCGCCCCTCTACATTCGCGGGAAGGACGGGGCTGCAGTGCCAACCAACGCTTTCCACAGTCCGCGCTGGGGCGGGATCATGGTGAGGCGAAGGGGGGGCTGCCACGGGATCCTCCCAGACAGGTAGCAGCAGCTGTTCTTCGCGGGGGGATGTCTTGGGGGGCTGCATGGCATATCACCAGAAATTTGTCGTCTCCTAACCAAACGTATGTGGCATTTAAAAAAAAAGCTGCACGGGCATTTGCATTGAAACGCTTGTCAGTAAGAGTCGTTCCTCTGCGCCTCCCTTCGGTCCCTCTGTGAGTGGGAAGGTGCAACGCCCGTGGAACGGCCTTGTTTTGACCACGTGCCGTGCCAGGAAGTGCGGGGACCTCCACGTTGCTCGGAGGAAGAGCCTGGAGCTGGCGCGACAGAAACCCGCAGTGCTGAGACAAGGCAGGAGCATCACGTGCCCAAATCCCTCCTCATCTGAAGGCTGGAGAAGAGCCGTGTTTCTGCCGACCCCTGGTTTAAACCCTGGGGCGGAGCCCGCTTCACGGCTGGCTCGGGGCTGGAGTCCTGCAGCCGGGAGACCTCCCGCCTGTACGTGCTTCTGCCTCGTCTGCAGCAGAGCAGCTTCTCAGGCCGCGTTGTGGCTGGGAACCCCTGCTTAAGCCAGTTCCTGGATAGGAGGCAGAACCTCTGGAGGGCTGAGAGGCGCTTCTGCGCCTGGTGGGAAGCCAGGCAGAGCCCCAGCAAAGGGCACCACCTGCTCCGCTTCTGTTCTGAAGCACTGTCTCTCTCTGCCAGGTCTACAACGTGGAGCCAGAAGCCGCCAACGAGACCTCTCTCCCGAGGAGGGTGGACATTGACATGGTGCGCGTGATGAAGGTGTTTCTGGCCCAGCTACGGTGAGCTCAGGGAGAGGCCCTGGGTGGGCTGCGAGGGGCCCTGGGTGCCTGCTCAGGCAGGAAAGCAGCCCTGGTGGGCAGCCCTCTCCCCTTGGTTTAGTGCTCTTGGAGGGGGTCTTAGAGGCCATCTGGCCCAACCCTGCCCCGTTCAGGGAATCCGAGCCTCTGCCAAAAGATTAGGCAGAGAAGATTCCCCCTCGTCTGGCCTTGTGGGAAATGGCTCCCCCCCCCACCCCCGAGGCCTGTCAGACTGTCTGGAAAGCAACCTGCTGGAGAACGGGGGCTGGTATCGGGTTGGGTGCCATGACTTTGTTCCTCCCCGCTCCAGGGATTGCCTGCTCCCCCTACTGGCTTGCACGGGGGGCCAAGGTTATTGCTACAGGTCTGCCCCCCCTTGCTGCGTCAGCTTCTCCAGCAGCCCTGCAGCCTCTTCCTCCGGACGCCTCTTGCCAGCCTGACAGACCAGCCTGTTCGGCTGCAGCCGTAAAGCAGCTGGGCTCTGCTGCTCCCGGAGGGACTCCCTGCCCCCAGGCCTTCTCCGCAAGAGCTCTGGGGGGCACGGCAGCCCAGGTTCAGCCACCGCGTGATGTTTTGCTTGCCCCCCCCCAGATTACTGTTTGGCATCTCTTCTGGCCCAGCGCCAGAAGGGGCTCTGATGGAGAGCCCCGGGAACGAGGGCCTGGCGGACTGGGAGCTGGACGGCTTGCTGTGGGCCCGCACGGTGGAGAACGTGGCCACCGTCTCCACCACCCTGACGTCGCTGGCCCAGCTGCTGGACAAGATCGGCAACATCGTCATCAAGGACGACGTGGCCTTGGAGGTACGGGGCTGGGGCTGGGGCCGTGGAGGGTCGTTTTCCTCCTGCGGAAAGGGCCAAGGGTTCAGAGGTGCCAAGTCGGTGCCTTGCCTTCCCCCAGGTCTGCCGTGCGGTGGAGTCGGCCCAGCAGGCGATGGCGGAGCTCAGCCAGGGCCACCTGGGCCCAGCTTTCCAGGCCAGCAAGGCGGCGGCCACCTCCTCGGAGCGGGCCTTCTTCGACCCCTCCCTCCTCCACCTCCTCTACTTCCCGGACGACCAGAAGTTCGCCATCTACATCCCACTGTTCCTGCCCATGGCCGTCCCCATCCTGCTCTCGCTGGCGAAGATGCTCTGGGAGAAGAAGCAGCGCCAGAAGGAGCCCACGAAAATGGACTAAGGTGCCTCTGGATGCCCAGAGGCGTGGCGGGCACTAGGCTGGGCATATGCCCAGAGAGAAATGATGGCAGGTCCCGGCCAGCACGATGGACCCCCAGCGGGGGGGCGGGGAGCTGATGTTTCCGCTGGGCTCCTTCTTTGGAGCAGCTTTAAAATGGAGAGCGTCCCTTTCGCTGCGGACGAGGCCAGAGGACAGACCGGCCTTCAGAAGCGTCCCTTGTCCCTGGCTGCCCTGCCGGGCACTCCTGCAAGTGCTCAGCTGCAGGAAGCGGGGCTCCCTCTCTCGAAAACTGCCCAGCTGAAGCACTAGAGAACTTTGCGGCCCATCGGAGGGCATAAGCCTTCTCCCCCCACACAGAGGCGGAATGGGGAGCCCCCTCTTCGCCTCCTGACCAAGCGTAGGATTGATCTTCAATTAAAGTTGGGTTGGCTTGACCAGTGGAAGCGCTGAGCATCTTTTGCAGCTCCCCTGGGGTCTTTGGAGGGGGGGCAGCAAGCAAGGAAGGGGGTGAGATGCTGCTTGCCAATAAAAGCAGGTTTAGGCCGCTGAGCAGCCAAGGAGATTCTGTTCTAATGCTAATGCTCCTTTTGCGAAGATGGGGAAGGACCTGGCGTTTGCTATTTTCATGCCCGAAAGTTAGAAGAGAAGATCACCCCACACCAAAGTCAGCCCTTTGTGCAGCTCCTGTGCAGAAGGCTATTTCTACCCTAAGAGGAGAGAAGCATTATTTATTTTAAGCATTTACCTAATACTTCCCATTAAAAATCCCGAAGCATTTTATGTTACAATTCAAACTGATTAAATACTAAGTTTGATATGGAGCATAGATTAAAATTTTATGCAGTAAACAAGGTGAAATGAATAAGATCCAGAATAAAACAGAGAATTAAAGCTGCAGCGAGAAGTTCAGTCTTCCAGAGTATATCTGCTAACGCTCAAGGCCCGAGAAAGGGAAACGGGGACGGGGCGGGCGGACCTTGCAGGGGAGGGCATCCCAAAGTCCAGTCACCACCGAAAAGTCCGGCCTCCGAGTAGCTGCTCGTTGCATCCGTGCGTGGAAGGTGGGTCCTCTGAAGGAGATCTCAGAAGGATCACCGATCCTGAAGGGGGATGAGGGGCCGAACCCTGCCTGATGGCCGGGCGGGGGCTCCTGCTCTCTTCCCGGCACTGCAAAACCCTTTCGTTGGGGCGCATTCTGGGCCGTACTGCAGCATAGCCAAGCTTGGGTTTCTTAATAACTCGATGTGTTTTATTTCTGTCCTGCTCCCCCTTTCTCAGACCTTTGGGTATCTAATGAAGTGGGGGGGGTCCTCTTTGTTCTAACACGCATCGCTCTGATCCTGCTTCTGTGGAAGCTCCTTTGCCTCTGCCCAGTTGGGAGATGCCCGTTTGGCGCTCTTTGCAGCCCCTTTTCCACGTTGCTTTCCTGAGCCACAATATGGTTTCCTTGCTTTCATCCCGTGTTGGAACTGAAAGGGATCTTGGAGATCATTGGATCCAACCCGCCCGGTGCGTGTTTCAGTGCAACCCTGCAAACCAGAGACTTTAGTTGTTTGTAAATAATTGATAGGGCAGAACAAATATAAATGTATATTTATACATCTCGTAGAGGTGACTGGGCAGCGCACACAGATGGAAACGCAACAGTTAAACGCAAGATAAACGATACGCCCCAATCATAAAACAGCTTCAACGACAGAGCTTGCCCAACCTCCTGGCCCAATGAGAGGGAAACAGCCAGGTCTCCAATGCCTTGGAAAGGCTAGCAGGTCGGGGCCGCCCAGATCCCAAGGGGCAGGGATGGCATTCCACGGGGCGGGCACTGCCAGAGAGAAGGCATGACTCTGGGGTCCCGCAAGATGGCATGGCTTGATGGAAGAGGCCCAGAGTGTGCCCTCCTTGGTAGGTCTGTGGGCAGACACAGTGGGAGAAAGGCGGTCGCACAAATAGCCTGGCCCTATGCCACGCAGGGCTCTACGGGTGCCAGCGCTGTTAAATGGCGCAGGGGGAGACGCACAAACGCCCGCACGGCCGCATTCTGGACCCGATGCACTTCCGAGGCTCTTGCAGGGCGGCCCCGTGTAGAACGGCTTAGAGCAGTGTCTCTCCCCCTTGCCCACTTTAAGATGCGTGGACCTCAACTCCCAGAATTCCCCAACTTGGCCGATGCTGGCTGGGGAATTCTGGGAGTCGCAGTCCACGCATCTTAAAGTGGCCAAGGGGGAGAGACACTGCCTTAGAGCCGTTCTACACGGGGCCGCCCTGCAAGAGCCTCGGAAGTGCATCGGGTCCAGAATGCGGCCGTGCGGGCGTTTGTGC